TTATCGCAGTTGGGCAGAATCGATTTCCGGTTTCATCGATTACACTTGACTGGCAGCCGTCCATGTTTGAAAGCCATACACCTGCGAACGCATCAGCGATCCGTGGTGCTTTCCTTATCGACGTCGTTTTCCCTCCTCGATCGTTCGCTGAAATGATCCGAAAAAACGACAGACAGATTATTTGCCTTATCAATATCCTTCTCCTTGCAACTTCTGCTATTGGTCGTTTTTGATACGCAGGAAATAGGATAAGATGCTACATTTTAATCTGCGCCGTCTCCCTGTCTTTTACTGAAATACGGCACATCCCCCGTCTTAGCATTCAAAAGTTTCGGTAGCCTCGAAGGACTGAGGTCTTTGTCAGCTTTTCGCCGTTCAATCGCGGTGTCATTCTCCAACGATCCCGGCGGCTGCGCGTTACTTGACGAACCCGTCAGTAAAGTCTTGCAGTATGTTGAGAGTAGAAACTTCGTTTGTTTACTGGGAATGTTTTCTTTCATTGGCTAATAGTGCTATGCACTTGTCGAAGACCAGCTGGTGTCGTGTGCCGAAGGGGGGCGGCACAGTAATAAAGGTGGATATCTGTGCCTGTATCGAAGAATCTCATGGTGATCCCTTACTTCTCCGCAGACCCGTCCATCCGTCTATTACGTACTGTTATATAACCGTAGCCTTTGGCCCCGTCGGCCTTTAACTCTCGTCTGCCCATCTGTACCCTATAACAAAGCAGCGTGAAGGTTTTAACAGTAACAGCGGCCCCGTTCTCGAGCCGAATATCTGCGCCTTCTATATCAGGCTTATTGCCAAGCCGCACTCAGACAGCTTGCGCGCAACTCCTGCACAACGAGCTACATAACCGCAGTAGCGATGTTGGCAATTGGCAGTGCTGCATTACAATGAGAGGTCGATCCCCTTTACTCGTCACAGATTCGCCGAGAATGGGTGCTCCAACCGGCTCATCGGTACGCGCCAAAGTCACATATGGCGTCTGCATGCCAATGCGTTACGGTCTCCGAACGCGGTACGATGCTTAACTCTGCTGCTGTGGCGGCTGCGGGACTCAGACGCGTACGTTCAGAGCGGCTCAAACTATGCCGGCGGCTATAGCGGCTCGTGTCGCTGCGCGAGCAGATGGTCGCTCAAATAGCAAAGGCAAGAGAAGAAGAAATGCATGTAAATCCAAACGCGAAACGTCCACTAGCAGCGGCGGCGGTAGCTGGGCGATTTCGTCGCGATTTTGATTACAACGGCCGACGGCTGCTGAAAAAATCAAAGTCGATATCCACCTTAGGGCGTATGCAGTCGTTAAGGCACCGGCTTCTTCGATTGCTACCTGTTGAATGGCATGAGTCTGGCACTACCTGTTGCGCAGGGGGTGTGCGTCTGCATTCTACGATCTACTCGTGTATCTACTGCAGCTTTTTCACGTCGTAGAACTGTGGATTCTGGTGGATAGAGAGCACAGCATCTTAAATCGATGCTACGCTTGGTTACGTTTACGGGCTAGTCAAAAAGGCTCTTAGTTAGATGAAAATGACACGTTTGTGTGTGAACGTAGATTTTTATTTATATAAATAGGAAGCTAGCTCGCAATAAAGAGATAACCCACAAACTATACAATATAATACATAGTTCATATTTCTTATATATTTTCTATGGTATAATCTGTTTGTCCGTCTGTTACAGGTCTATCTCGAACCCTTCGAGAGCTAATAAGAGAGATATATGAAATCATTCATGATGAAATTATGTGTGAACTTCCGGGCGTAAACACCAACTGATTCGGTCCAGGAGCGTCTTGTCTGAAGTAAAGCCTAACGGCTTAAGTACCGGATGTAAGACATGAAAAACATGATAGAATTATATGCTCTATTTGAGTTTATTGAGGTTAACGTTTGGCTATGTGTTTTCGTGGTAGTAATACAGTGGTAACTTAGTATTTGCTCATTTATCTCCTTTAGGCTTACGCAAAATCGTGGACACAGTGCAATACTCCAGGAAAGACCAGGCTATCATGCCTTTTTCTTCTAGGTCTCTCAAGGCCTCGTTCAAACAGATTCTTTGGGCAACGCCAAAATGGCGCGGTGCTAAGGTCCGCCGTAGAAGACAGTTGCGAGGTAGCTAGGCAAAAAATACAAAACGTATAAAAGCACAAAAGTGTGTTCGGAAACTATAGAGGATGAGTTTTGAAGTTCTAAGAGGTAACAGTTTGTTTCGGATTCGTCCTAGCTATTAAATCAAGCGTCGCAGCCGCTGCTGGCATTAAACACACAATTGATCATTATCTAGTACGTACCTCTTGGATACACTACTGCCCCTAAACAAACAATCTTTCTTTGAATATGTATGAAATGTGTGTGAACTAAAATATTAACACTTGTTTTATAGCGTAAACGTACATTTTCTAACCTTCGGACTGCTGGATTCAATCATATCGGATCTGCTCTAGTTTACTTCTTGATATTCCACTGCTATTCGATATACGTTTGTAGTCTCTCTTCCGGGCCAGAGCTATGTGGCATAGCATATCGTAGATGCAAGCATATTGTACTGCGTAAATCCCTGAGCAACGATCGCGTCACCTGAAAACGCAAAGGTTCCCCTTTAGCTGCTCTGGGAGAGCTAGAAGTATCGAATAATTTGTGATATTTTGTTCTGCTTCCTGCTTTGGAACTAGCCGATCTGCCGCCCGTTTCACGAGTCCTGCACTTCCATGCGGCCTCATTTGCCTGGTGCTTAGAGCGGCCAGGAATCTGAAATCTAGATCAGGATCCTATTTGAGACAAATGTCGCTCTGCAAACCGCTTCTGGTAGATGAGTCTCTGTGGGTGCATGCAATAGCGTCATTTTGTTCCGTTGAAGCTCTGCTGGATCCGCGGCTGCTCCGCCTCCTGGTCAGAGGTCAGCGTTGAATTCCAGTGCGCCGACATCGTCACATTGCTGGTTTTGCTTCTAATTCCACAGCTGCTTTTGTCGTGTCGAAAAACACAACGAAATGGAGATGGGACGGCAGCATCGGCGCCATGTTTCCCTCGTCAATTTTAAACAGAATGAGACGTCTAGAAGATCAACGAGGTGCTGGCCCCACAGCCCCGATGTCGCGCCTGGCACGGAAGAAGATATGGGCAACGACGATGTTCTGTTAATAGGCGCAGAAAGTTGTGGGTACGGTAAACCTCATCGATGGGCCGCATAAGCCCGATAGGATTGATGCCGCAGTCGAGATCGATCCGATTCCTCATGAATTGCAAATTTCTGCTCCGGCGAATTATAGTAGCAAAAGTACTACGTGCTTAATGGTGTCAGGAGGTTAACGAATAGAAGTAAATTACGAGAAGTATATCGTTTTGTAAATTCAGGTAGCATAAATAGGTTAAAAAAATACTTTGCTCAATTTTCTATAGATTAAGGTCACAGTCACTGATATAGGTTACGGATGTTTATATTCCTCGTGGGAAATTGTATGATAATCATAAAGGTGATGGTGACGGAAATAATAACACGCACCTGATAGCTGTGTACATCTTCCTGACGCTAAATAAACCCCAAGGCACTTTTCAAGACCAACGTACAAAAGAACAATCATTTGACCACAGAAAAGTATGACCAAGTTTTTTGTATGACTTGCTTTATTATCAGACACAACAGGTGCGGAGGGCCAACCTATGTATGCGCTAGAAGAAACAAATGAAGATTGAGTTCTATGAAAATTCATTTAAACAGGCGAAGTAGGTAGCCATTAGGCAATTACATTGCCATTGACAAGTTTCTGCTTTATATTGAAATGTACATCGGAAAGCATGGTTACGAAAAGGTAGATGTGTGATACACGATTATAATAGGACATCTGCAACATATTATTTTAGCTAAGGCAGCAGGTTAGCAGAGGCAGTCAGGAATCAGTTAGGGGCTAGATTCGAGTAAATAAAGGCTCGCCGGTCGATCTTTTTCTCTGTCTATGCTGGTTTTCTCTTTCTAAGGTTTATTAGACAAAATCCTGACTTCACACAACGGTACAATAGTAACACGTTCGCCCGCTAAATTTACTGGCATAATCCCAGTTCAGTATTGAAAGAACGTTCAAAGGGTGTAACGGAAGGTGAAACATTTATTGAACCTAATCCTCCATCACAAAACATATTTTCCGTTGACCCTATTGTATATAAAATGTAATTAAAAACCACGTATATCGAGCACGCTCGGACTCGACCTCAGGCCAGCACGACTTTCTCAGCTTAGAATAGAAATACCCCAACTGCACACAACTATATTGAAATAGAACACAAACTAACACTGTAATAGCAAACGTCATTGGGCTTGTTTTCATTTAAAAAAAAATAATAACCTGTAATTTTTTCCTACAATTAACGTAATCTAGAAATATCTATTCATATTCTCCAAAAAGAAACACGCATAGGTTAATGGTATCGTGACCACTTTGTAACCATAAAAGTGATCATTTTGTATTTGTTTTTATTTCCCTTTTTTCTTCTCATTTCTGTATCGTTCGATTTTTTCATCGTTCCTTCTTTCATTCGTATAACTTAACATATTATTGTATCAAATTATATTATATATCTATTTACAAACTATGTACAACTTTATATAAAGTTACGCCAGTGTCAACGTTTCCGCTATGTGAGGTTCATCAAGCATGATGGCAATTCGTAGCTATACGATGGCATAGTTTTACACGGATTTTACTTGACCATTATGTCAATCACGGGACGAGGATGTGGCAATAGCAACTCGATCCACACATCTTTTGTCACCTGTTAACTAGACTAGACATAGAACCACTGGATAATAACGCGTAAGATTTATATCACAAGTCCGAGAGCTACTCATGGACCGCAAGTGTCACTGAAGCTCCTCCAGTTCTCATCCGTCGGCAACGACCTCAAAGTGTTTAGGTAAAGATAATTGTTTTTTGTCAGATTCCCCCTTTTTCCCCTTTCCGCCATTGTTGCTGGGGGGGGGGGGGGATTTAAAAAGCAAACACGGCCGCCGCCGGGCTAGACTGGGGAGATGGACGCATCACTGCCACCGAATTACCCTGCTGACAGCATGCTCCAGAGTCTTGATGCTTGTGAAGGAGAGACGCTCGGGAAAAAGTCTTCGAGCATTTGGTACACGAATACTTTTTCACCTCCTGATGGGTTTGGAGGTGCGCTCGAAGATTGGAGCGATCGGCGAATGCGCGATGGCAGTGTTCGCATTCAAATGGCTTTTCCCCTGTGTGCGTCCTGATATGTCCCTGCAGAAGCCATGGTCGAGAGAACGCCTTGCCACAGATGTTGCAGCGGCATGGAAGCGTGTGCGTGCGATGGTGCATCTTCAAAGCGCCAAGTGACACATAGGACTTCGGGCAGTACTTGCACAGATAGGCGCCTTTGCTAGTCGATGACGACGAGCACGGCATTGATGAAGAAGACGACGTGGACGTCGCGGACGATGCGGATGAAGGGCGCACAGGTGAGCTCGGTTCAGATGTTGATTTAGGCGACTCGTCGGAGCTGCTATACGACGATTCCGAGGGCTGAGTCCAGGATGGGACAACAGCAACATCCCCGTGCTGTTGTGGCAAAGCAACCGATGCTTGTGAGGTAGCTGCGACTTGTAGGCCAAGAGGAACGGGGTGAACCATTGAGGGCTGCCCAGCAACAAGTTGCGCGGTGGTAAAAGGTGTCATATGAGGTAACAGCGAGTAATAGTAGGGATGCATGGCGTATGGCATAGGAATCGCGCCAACAGGAAATATTGGAGTGGGTGCAACGATGGTTTGTTTCGTTTCAGGCGTCTCAATGTGTTCAGGTGACGCGACGCGTTCAGGAGACTTGGAAGATTCACGGGGACGCTTCATTGTCAAATCGTAGGGCATTGTCAGATCTGCAAAGATAAAGAAAATACATAAAGTTAGTGTTGCTGCAGATACGGAAAAATTAGTTCGAAAAAAAAAAAAAAAAAAAAAAAAAACTGTAAATTACTGCTAGATAGGACTGGTTAAGCTCAGTTTGGCGACACAGATACCTATTGGTTTGCACCAATTCAGCAATTAAACGGGAAAAAGCTAATCATATACGGCTCGGGATATCCACAGGATGTTTCGCTACGAATAATAAACAGCTTAATAGGTCGCCGCGGTACATACCTGGTACGGTCGCTGAACAGTCCGAAGGGGCAGGCGACACAGAAAGAGCTGGCGAACAAGAGGATCTGGAGAGATCCTCGGGCAAGCACATTTCGTCTTGCCATGGCCGTTTGACACCCGTCAACTGGGCGGCAATCATGGCCTCGTGCTTCTTCTTGATCAAAAACGCCTTCGGCATCGTGATCGTCGTAAAATAGGTTCGATATAATGATCAAACAGCGACAACAATTCAGCAGAGAAAATATCCAATGCAACGTGATTTTCGTTCGTTCTTTCTTTCGTTTGCTTGTTTGTAAGTATCCAGGGAGCGATGCACGAATGTACTACTGATACTTGAAGTGTTCCCTGTTTTTATACCGGCGCATACACCTCGATAGACTCCGCCTCTACGAAACCCCCCGAGGGAGAGGGCGAAATGGAGAGGGTAACCCCCAGTCGGAGAAACGGAGCGCCACTGGGGATGGCATCGCAGTCGGTCACAACAACCGCAAGTACCAGCAAGCCAAATCGAGGCAGTAGCATCTACAACGAACTAAAAGCGGGCATGGAGACCATGTGCTCCCACTGAACGAAGCCCTCTGCATAGGGAGTGGTCTGTTTGGTGCGGAACACCATCTGTCGTCCAGCCGTCTTGTTTGGAGCTACTGTTCTTTGTAAAAACAACGATGGGGCTTCGCTTTCTAACGTCGAGTAGATAGTCGCGTTACGCTTAGGGAATGGAGAAACGAAGGTAGGGCAATGTGTTGCCCACGCTTACAGCTGCAATAGGCTGGATTTAGAACTTACTAACAAACGGGTAAAAAGCAGAGTAAAAAAGATGATGAAAATTTGAGTCTTTGTACTTAAGTAGGCTCTATCCATTAGTAGATAGGAATAAGTTTTTTTTAATTTAAGTCAGCTAGATCTAAATGGGGTAAACGACGCTGAAGTTAGGCTGTATGTTAGATTTCTTTTCGGCAAACGATGGCAAATAAAGATTCGCGTGAATACGGACAAATAATGGCGAAAAAAAAGGCATGGTTACGCCTTTTTTTTCAGTTGCTATAGAAAATATTTTTGTTAGCAAGTTAATTAGTTTTCACAAGATTAACAGTTCTTCAGCGATAAGTACATCTGCCTATATATCGTCGAAGGCAGGTGAAACTTACAGCTGCATAAAATGTAAATTGTTTGGAGGCTTCTGTATGTACATATTATTACACACATTGTTTTTTTGATTTACTATATAATAAAATGACAGATTACCAACCAGTCTTAAGCTAAATCAGATTACTACTTTTTAGAAGAAGCTATAATTGAACTTTTATTTGCGTCGCAAGGTATCATACGAGATATTTATGGTAATTGTAGGCTAATTGTGCTAATTCAGTAGCAAGAACAGACACAAACATTACTAAATAATCCACAAATCAATGTTGAATGAAACAAATGATTTCCAACTTGAAGGATATGTCACAGTTCTAGATTCGAACCCAAGACTTATTCGCGTTGCCTGTTTGAATGGGAAGACCGTGATAACTTATCACGATATTTTTTTGCAGGCTGATCAGAAAGTCCACGGCTTCAATGTTGTTTCGATTCAAATATTCTCTGGGAGCTTGACATCGTATATTCTATGACTCGGACATATAAATGTATGTGAATCTTTCTTTATCCAGGCAAATCTCGATCTAATGGATCTGTAACATTTGACCGCTGTGAACTTTTCCCCTTTTAATTTTTGCCGGGCACGTAACGCGCGGTATATCGAAAAATTTTAGTCAGCGATTTGCAAGGATGAATTAGCGCGTCATGTCTTGTGGAATTGATCAAATTGTTCGATGATTCGCAAGGGCAACTGTGCAATCCAAAAACAGCAGAAGACTCCATTATCGAAATAGATTTATCACGAAGCAAATAGCAGATTTGCTAAGCGTTATTGATTGTAGCGTTTCATCGCCTAAGCGTTCAACACAATCCCTATTTTTGTTTGTTTTTTTCTTTCGAATAATGCTTTTATCTACGCCATTACAGCTCTAGTATATAGAATACGATAATACGCTGGGCATTGCCCCGTCTAATGGTTGTTTTACCTACATAAACTGTTTAGTTGGGAGAAATGGATGCAACAGGTCCGCTTATCGGACACGGAGCCACCATCACCCACAGTGAATCCAAGTGCGCATTTTTGACTTTATCAATTCATTAATTTTAATTGACTCGTTCAGGGCACGTATAGCCCTTCGCACAGTAGCCTAGGATTCATTCTAATTCCGAGTGAGTACCGTTCGTCGTGTGTCGTGAACAGGGGCAGCTGATCAGGCATATCGACGAAAAGACGTTGAGTATGGCGCCGTTATCAATACGTTTCAGCTTAGCTTCGTTCGTTTACCTTGTGTCAGCTTGACAAAGACAATTCTAAGTGCTAACAGCCGTTATACGAGGTGAAAAGCTTTAGGAAGAAGGCTCAAGTAATTTTTCGTATTAGGCCACTTCTGCAAAGTGGCCTAATACGAAAAATTTGCCAGTCTATTCTGAAAAGGTAAATTTCATTGTTACAATAGCTGTGAAAAAAAAATTTCAACTAGAATTGAGAGCGCCCTAATTGAGATTATAGTTTCTCTCATATGACAATCAGACACTTTTATCTGACAGATTAAATCAGAATCAATGTCCACATGTACGGAAACGTTTTGTCAGGTATTCTTTGCAAATAAGTCATCTACAGTATATAAATCGTTCGTGTCTGTAGACAGAAATCACTTGCTTATCATCGCATGGCCTGAACAGAAAGATGTAGAGACAGCCGTCATCTTGCATGCTTTTGCGCGAACCTCAAGTACACCAGCTAACTAAGAGTGTTACCTGAACTATATCTGCTTATAAAATCCGGAATTATGCATCTTCAGCGGTTTCTTTGTAGACCCAGCACGATCCTTCAAAGCCGGCTGTAACAGGAAGGATTACGGATTGAAGAGACTGTAAAACGCAATATTGTGGCTTTTTAATCGCGATGAAAGGGTGAGAGAGACTGTGCGGCCGGATTTGCACCAGCATGTGGTCGGATACGCGTCAAGACTATGCTCAACAGAGTACCCGTTCGTCGCGCCTGCTGCAGACTCGCCGATTGGAAACAGGACCCTCCAGCTTTGTCCTTTTTGTCAACCGTTCCAGAACAGCGGCCGGCCTTTATCTAGCCCAGGCATAGAAGGCTCGCTAACTGAACGCCATGAGAAACGAACAGGAGAAATATAAAGAGCGAAAATCGATGTGCGGGTGGATCTTTGGGAGGACCGCGTCAGCCCACTTTTTGGCCAGGAGATAGCCGAAACGGGGACCCGGTAGCTAACTAGAGTCTGTGCACTATCATGAACAAGGCATTATGGGGAAGAGACAAAGGGACCTGTGGGGTCGGGGACCAGCCGTGGCGACGAGTAACGGAGAAAAACTGCCAGTCGTTTGGGTTGGGGGGAATGTTTAGAATAGTGTGGGAACCCGAGCGGTGGCGGACTGAGTTTTAGCACTAGTCCAGTGTTCGCTTCTAGTCGACGCACAGAAAAATGATGGACTAATGATGGCTGGACGGGAAGCTAGTGAGTGAAGCAAATCGGCACGTGAACACCGCCCCTATATACACTACGGCTCTCTCCTTTATGTGAGCTCTATTCATATATAGTTATACATCTGCGTACGCATGGACTTTTTCCATTTCACTATTAGCTCTGTTCCATTTATATAGAGAGATAATATGGGAATATCAAAGACCTGCGGTGACTTCTTGAGAACAACCTGCGGTAGACCTAGAGAGAAGGTTGGTCATTGTCGTGGAGATAAGGCATTGCTAGGTGCGATGCCTGACGGAAGTAAATGGCTTAGTGGAATGCTAATCAGTTAGCATCTAACCTTGTAATAGTCATCATGCGAGGAGCAAGTCTTCGATTGCTTAGCGTAGATAGTTTAAGCGAAATGCGTAAGGGTAGTTTATCGTAAGTCGTTTCCGATCGTAAACCTAGTTTTCTGAATAGAGCCAGCATTGTTGAACGCAGCAGACGTACGACAGAGTTGTAGAAGTGTTTGAGGGGTGTATCTGTGTGTACGTTAGTGGCTTCTGACTGATCTTAACGCCAGCATAATATTCTACATAAATTAAGTGGTTAGTCAAAAAAGATACAGATGCATTTGCCCCTCTACAAACCGCATGAAGAGCATTGTCTTGCATATAAGTATGCAGGTAAACCTAAGGAACGTAGTCATTAAACGGAAAACAGGAGGGAACTTCTTAGCAGACATCGTTGAGTCACATTAGCGACAAATCACCCCCAAATAGAATCCAAATAGAGCACTTGCTCCCTACCATGTGCAGCAAAATGGACGCTTACCGAAATCATTTTCTTATTATAAACAATAAATGAAACGATCATACCGATAATAAAAGGGTAGGCGGATTATCTTCGAATAGGTAACAGCACTAATACCACGTTCAGATCTATGAACTACTGCGAATAGTCGAAACGCTCGTCACTCCTCTACGCCTACTCTTGGTTACGGATCCATATGGCTTTTTCTTGCATGGCACCCAGCTTCTACATATAACCTTAACGTCTTATTATGCCTTATGGTCGCCTTTAGCCAACTAGAGAGACTAGAGACTTCGAGCAGTAACTGTTTGCTCTCTACGATCCGTCACCAAATGATGTAGTTTGAAGTCCTTCATTTTCTCTTTTTCTTTCGGACCACAAGCCTTATTCGAGTCTCTAATCGGCCTCTAAGCCAACGGCCTCTACGCCAAGCTCCAACTGCTGAGATATCTGCTGGGGAATGTTAGATCGGGGCAGAAAAAGAGAGAGAACAGCTAGGAACCCCCTTCCGGCATCGAGATCGGGCGAGGTTTTTCAGCCACGATAGCTTCTGCTAGGTTGGTGTTACTGCTGCTATGGGCTTCTGGTCGGCAACGGTGAGCACCATTGACGTTAAAGCAACAACCTGCGGGTTTACGGTTAAGATTACACAGATGGTATCAAGAATAACATGTATTGCACAGACATGGACGCACGGACAAGCACTGGCCCTTACGCTCGGCAAATAAGCACTACCAACGTCTGTAGTAGAAGTGATTGTAGTAATAACAAGCTTGTCATAAGAGGATCGACGACATTCGGCCAGAGAAGGCTTATAGGAGGTTCGCCTGTGTCCATTGAACTATATTCGAAAAAAGATTACGGCAACCGGTAAAACGGCTAGAAATTACCTGAGATCTGCACAGTAGTTAGATGTTTGGTAGATTTGGGGTT